CTCCCCCGCCCCCGGGTCCCCGCCACTGCTCCAGCCCCCAGCACCTCGCTGGCCTCACTCCCATGCCACCTCCCTGACTCCCCTCCTCCTTTTCCCAGATCTCACACCAACTGGAGGACTGTCTATCCTTCAAAGTTCACCAGTTCTTTAATGTGGGGCTGATCCAGCCGGGGGCAGTCAAGGTGTACTCCTATTACAACCTGGGTGAGCAGCCAACCTAGGGCCTGGTGTCTGAGGGTCCCGAGGATCTGTGAGTTGGGGGTCGCAGGGCTCTGGGAGTTGGGGATCTGGGAGTCCCAGGGCTCGGTGAGTTGGGAGCGTAGGGGTCCCAGGGTTCAGGACCTAGCATCTCCTAGTCTGAGGACTGGAGTTGGGAATCTGAGCCCCACAGGCATGGTCTTGGGTGGAGGCCCCTGCTCTCTGACACCTCCCACCCCTCTGCCCACAGATGAGACTTGTACCCGGTTCTACCACCCGGAGAAGGAAGACGGAATGCTGAGCAAACTCTGCCACAATGAAATGTGCCGCTGTGCTGAGGGTGGGTGCGCAGGAGCCAGGAAGTGGTGGGCCACGCCCACTGGGGGTGACACAAGGGGTCCCCAAAGCCCACGTCCAGTGGATACCAAGAGGGATGGGCCTGGGGCTGGCCACACCCATGGGTGGTGGGCCCTGGGTGAGAAGTGGGGCTTAGATCATGTCCCCTGCCCACCCACCTGCAGAGAACTGCTTCATGCAGCATATGGAGGACAAGGTCACTCCGGAAGACCGGCTGGACAAGGCCTGCGAGCCGGGAGTGGACTATGGTGAGGAGGGGGCGGGGAGGCACATGTGCATGTCATTGTCTGTGAGCGATAGCGTGTGCAGCTGTGGCTGCGTGTGCGGCTGTGACGGCAGGCGTGGTCGTGGCTGCATGTGGCTGTGCTCCAGGCTATGGCTGTGGGTGACTGGTGTGCGGTGTGTGTGTGTGTGTGTGTTAGGGGCCACGGTTGTGTGGGGAACCATGATTATGATTGGGCTCGGTATGTGCAAGAGTGTGAAAAAAGGTGGTTGTGAGTGAGTGTGGCTGAGTGTGCCTGTGAGATTGTGGTTGTGGGTAGCCGTGCTTGTGTGAGATGGTGACAGCGGACAGGAGCAGCTGTCCCTGTGTACATGTGCCCGACTGTAGGTAACTGTGTGAGAGATGGTGCCTGTGAGTGACCGTGACCGTATGTGGCTGCATGTGAGATGGCTGCGGGTGACAGCGGACAGGAGCAGCTGTCCCTGTGACCGTGAGGGTGGCTGTATGACCCTGTGTGGCTGCACGTGTTCCTGGGAGGCAGGGACTATTGCATGACCCACTGCAGTCCTGCACGTGTCTGCTTGGGGGAGCGCGTGCCCAGGTGCGCTTGCAGGTAGGGTGCCCNCCCCAGCATCAAGTACATCATTGGGAAGGACACCTGGGTGGAGCTGTGGCCCGAAGCGGACGAATGCCAGGACGAGGAGAACCAGGCAGTGTGCCGGGACCTGGCCAGCTTCACAGAGAACATGGTCGTGTTTGGCTGTCCCAACTGAGCCCCCGTCGCGGTCCCCACGACGAGTAAAGCTTTCGTTGTATTCCACGTGCGNTGGGTAGCCGTGCTTGTGTGAGATGGTGACAGCGGACAGGAGCAGCTGTCCCTGTGTACATGTGCCCGACTGTAGGTAACTGTGTGAGAGATGGTGCCTGTGAGTGACCGTGACCGTATGTGGCTGCATGTGAGATGGCTGCGGGTGACAGCGGACAGGAGCAGCTGTCCCTGTGACCGTGAGGGTGGCTGTATGACCCTGTGTGGCTGCACGTGTTCCTGGGAGGCAGGGACTATTGCATGACCCACTGCAGTCCTGCACGTGTCTGCTTGGGGGAGCGCGTGCCCAGGTGCGCTTGCAGGTAGGGTGCCCCACTGGCAACCCTGCCCGCGACCACGCTGGCCCTCCCCTCTCCCCCCAGTGTACAAGACCAAGCTGCACAGGAAGGAGCTGTCGGATGATTTTGACGAGTACATCATGGTCATCGAGCAGGTCATCAAATCAGGTCAGCCCCCCGCTGCCTTGGGTCTCTCTGCCTCCCCTCCCTCCCCCTCCCTGCTCCGGGCTCAGCGCCCTTCTCCCCCCTCCAGGCACCGATGAGGTGTTGCCTGGAGGGGAGCGCACGTTCATCAGTCACATCAAGTGCAGAGACGCCCTGAAGTTGCAGGAGGAGAAATACTACCTCATATGGGGCCTGTCCTCGGACCTGTGGGGAGAAAAATCCAAGTG